TATATATATGTGTAAAAAAAAAGTAATAAAAGAAATGTTAATATTTACATTTAAGACGTAATTATAAGTATATATAATCATTCAAAATAATATTATATTATTCTAGTGTTAGTCGAGCATATCCAATTAGTTACCTTAAAAATAACTTTGACACTAGTACAAAAGCATTCAACACCTCGGCAGCAGTTGCTCCAACTCTAACCTAATCTTGATCAGCTTTTATATAGAGTATAATCAATGCAGTCCATCTACATGGAAACAGAAGGGTAAATTAGAGTAATAAACATACAAACATAAGAATAAGCATCTATGTTACACTATTATCAAATTCTTTAATCACTTCTATAGAGTTAAACAATGCACTTTATTATACAATCATCATGCAATGAATGCAACTCATAAAAGATACCAATGCATATTAATCATCTAATGTGTCGTCATGTATTCATCTAGGAGATCTTTTTAATAACAAAATAGTATAAATGACATCTCATTCTATCGAAATCATCCTGATCGCTTTTAAGCCCGAAGCGTCCTGTTGGGTCAACAGCAAATTGAGATATCAAATCTCCCTAGGTGTTTACTTGGATAGTGTTATTTACACAATTGAAAGTTCAGTTTCACCGTCAAGTATAACACAGTTGGGTATGGGCTTAGCACGGCCTTGACATATATTATCAAGTCACTTGTGGAGTTTGATCATTGACTATCCGCAAGGAATCACACACCTTTCTCAGTACTTGGTTAAAAAAATAATCCTCGACCTCATACCTTGTTCCAACACTAGTTAAGGACTCAGAGGAGACTCATCAAATCCAGTGGCATATCCAATCACTACTTTTACTCAAAATCAATGGCCTATCCAAATACCACTCTCACCCAAAACTAGTGACCTATCTGAGTACCACTCTCCTGCATATCAGTGGTTTGTCTAAGCACCACTTTCAAGCATATTAGTGGCCTATCTGAACACTATTTTCAAGAGATTTTATGTGAACTCTTTCAATTTGAAAACATTTTACCCCTCTCTAGTCCTATGCGAGACACATGCCATAAGGCACCACTTGTAAACAATGCATCATATATCATATATGGTCAATCTATCATCATGATCAATATCATGCACATAAGAACATACATATCCAATCTTGTTTTAAAGCATTTATACATACCTTTCTAAGCATACATATGAACCATACATTACCACACATCGTATACCATACATACATGATCCAACATCAACATCAAAACATGCTAAAGCATCATATTCAATTATAACACTAATTATAACATCATTATAGTAGACATGTAAATGAATTTCTTACTTAATGCATTTGCTATCACATTCGCCTTCCTAGGATGATATATCAGCTGGAAATTGGAGTCCTTCAGAAATTTCATTCACTTCTTCTGTCTCATATTCAGCTCCTTCTGATAAAATAGATACTTCAAACTAGTGTGATCACTGAATACATTGAATCTCGCACCATAAAGATAGTGTCTCCACATTTTCAAGGAGAACACCACAGTTGCAAGTTCCAAATCATGAGTGGGGTAGTTCCTTTCATGGGTCTTAAGTTGCCTCGAAGCATATGCCACTACTCTCCCTCCCTACATCAACACACAACCTAACCTATGATGAGAAACATTACAATACACATCAAAAGAGTCATTAATGTCAGGTAACACCAAAATTGGAGAAGTAGTCAACCATCTTTTCAGCTCCTGAAAACTTTGTTCACATATATCTGTCCAAACAAAAAGCTGATCCTTTTGGGCTAGTTGAGTCAAAGTAATTACTATTCGGGAGAAACCCTTTATGAGTCTCCGATAGTAACCCGCTAATCCAACAAAACTCCTAATCTTCGTAGCAGTCCTCCGATGCTCCCACTGAACCATAACATAGGACTTCTGTCGGCTCTGGGTAGCCCTTAACCTTTCTTGAATCTGTCTCACCATCTTAATAGTTTAAAGAACTAACTCTGGACCAACCACTATTGACTCACCTTCTTTTTACCAACACAATTGAGTCTTACATCTCCTGTCATATAAAGTCTCAAAAGGTGTCATGTCAATACTCGAATGCTAACTATTGTTCTAGGTAAACTCTACTAATGGTAACACCTCTTCCCAGCTACCTAGATAATCCAACACACAAGCTCTTAGGATATCCTCAAGTGACTGAATGATCCTCTCTAACTGACCATCTATCTGTGGATGTTAAGTGGAGCTCAACCTTAACCTCGTCCTTAAAGCCTAATGTAGAGTTTACCAAAATTTAGAAGTGAACCTCGGATATCGGTCAAAAATAATACTTGAAGACACGTCATGTAATCGTACTAATTCTCCGATATACAACTATCCTAGTTGACCAGGCAACCCAACCACAATATCCATAGTGACACTATTCCATTTTCACTTGGGAATCTCAATCAACTGCATCACCCCTCCGGGCTTTTGATGCTCAATCTTCGCTTTCCGACAAGTCAGACAAGCGGCTACAAACTCTGCTATCTCTCTCTTCATACCATGCTACCATAAACTTTTCTTGATGTCTTGATACATCTTAGTCATACTAGGATGTATGCTAAGATGACTTTTATGTCCCTCCACTAGAATAACTCTTCTCAACTCTAAATTCTAAGATAAACAAATCTGACTTTTGAATCTCAAAATTCCATCAGTACCAAAGCTCAAAACCAGCTACCCTCTCGGTGCCAAGCAATCCCAAATCCTCAACAACTCTAGATCTTGTAATTGCTTAGTTTCTAGCTATCTCAAGAACTCATTTATTATGGTAATCATCCCAAAATTAATGTGATTCTGAAAAACCTCCACCTCTAGTCTTAAATCTCCAAACTGTTCAATCAGCTCCAACTCCCTTATCATTATAGTAGACATGTGAATGAATTTCCTACTTAATGCATCTACTACCACATTCGCCTTCTTAGGATGATACATCACCCGAAAATTGGAGTCCTTAAAAAATTCCATCCACTTTCTCTGCCTCATATTCAGCTCCTTCTGATCAAATAGATACTTCAAACTTTTGTGTTCACTGAATACATTGAATCTCGCACCATAAAGATAATGCCTCCACATCTTCAAGACAAACACTACAGTTGCAAGTTCCAAATCATGAGTGTGATAGTTCCTTTCATGGGTATTAAGTTGCCTCGAAGCATATGTCACTACTCTCCCTCCCTACATCAACACAACCTAACCCTTGATGAGAAACATCACAATACACATCAAAAGAGTCACTAATGTCAGGTAATCCCAAAATTAGAGAAGTAGTCGACCATCTTTTCAGCTCCTGAAAACTTTGTTCACACATATCCGTCCAAACAAAAGGCTAATCCTTTCGGGTTAGTTAAGTCAAAGTCATTAATATTCGAGAGAAACCCTTTATGAGTCTCTGATAATAACTCGTTAATCCAACAAAACTCCTAATTTTCATAGCAGTCCTTGGATGCTCCTACTGAATCATAGCATAGGACTTCTGTCGACTCTGGGTAACCCTTAACCTTTCCTGAATCTGTCTCACCATCTTAATAGTCTAAAGAACTAACTCTAGACCAACCACTACTGACTCACCTTCTTTTTACCAACACAATTGAGTCTTACATCTCCTGTCATACAAAGTCTCAAAAGGTGTCATGCTAATACTCGAATGCTAACTATTGTTGTTGCTAAAATCCACTAATGGTAACACCTCCTCCCAGCTACCTTGATAATCCAACACACAAGCTCTTAAGATATTCTCAAGTGATTGAATTGTCCTCTTCGACTGACCATCTGTCTGTGAATGATAAGCGGAGCTCAACTTTAACCTCGTCCTTAAAGCCTAATGTAGAGTCTACAAAAACCTAGAAGTGAACCTCGGATATCAGTCAGAAATAATACTGGAAGACACGTCATGTAATCGTACTATCTCTCTAATATACAACTGTCCTAGTTGACCTAGGCAACCCAACCACAATATTCATAGTGACATTATTCCATTTCCACTTGGGAGTCTCCATCAACTGCATCACCCTTCCAGGCTTTTGATGCACAATCTTCGCTTTCTGACAAGTCAGACAAGCGACTACAAACTCTGCTATCTCCCTCTTCATACCAGGCTATCATATGTCTTGATACATCTTAGTCATACTAGGATGTATGCTAAGATGACTTTTATGCCCCTCCTCCAGAACAACTCTTCTCAACTCTAAATCCTAAGATAAAAAAATCTGACCTTTGAATTTCAAAATTCCATCAGTACCAAAGCTCAAAATCAACTGCCCTCTTGGTGCCAAGCAATCCCAAATCCTCAATAACTCTAGATCTTGTAATTGCTTAATTTTCACCTGTCTTAAGAACTCATTTATTATGGTAATCATCTCACAACTAATGTGATCCTGAGCAACCTCCACTTCTAGTCTCAAATCTCTAAACTGCTCAATTAGCTCCAACTCCCTAATCATTATAGTCAACATATGAATGAATTTCCTACTTAATGCATTTGCTACCACATTCGCCTTCCTAGGATGATACATCAACTGAAAATTGGAGTCCTTAAAAAATTTCATCCACTTTCTCTGTCTCATATTCAGTTCATT